CTCTATCCTAGCAAAACCAGGACAGATGTGATGTGCCTGGTTCCTGTGGCAGTGGGGAGCAGATGTTTCCCATTTTGGTTTATGCTGTCTGGAGCTGCAGTGCTGCAAGCTGGCGTTACCTGCCATGCCCAGGAAAAATCACCATGTATTCATTTAATTCCAAAGAGTTTCTAGGATTCACAGAGGCTAACAGATGTGTTGCTGCCTGTGCTTGCCTGTCTTTGTTGAATGCAGGTTTTTGCGTTGTCAACACATCCCTACGGCTGCCGTGTGATCCAGAGGATCCTCGAGCACTGTCTTCCTGAGCAGACCCTTCCCATCTTGGAGGAACTTCACCAACACACCGAACAGCTCGTTCAGGTCAGTGTGGGAAGGGGGAATGTGGGTGCTGGGAGATGTTTCTGCTTTCTATTAGGGAAGCTCCTGGCAGCCTATGTAGGACTGCAAGTATAGTGCTGCTGGGGTGGTGTGAACACAGGGACTCTGTTCCTGAGGAGAAAGGGGAAGGAGCATGGCAGACAAGAAATGTATTGTCACTAATTGTTTTGGCTACATGCAGATATCCAACAGGTATCAAAGTTGTAGGTACTTTCCTTTTTAAAAAGGATCTTACACACTGAGTGGGTGCATGTCCTAATGCTTCACTCCAGAAGTTACACTGCAATTAAGATCTGATGAAAGAAGCTGATCACTTCCAGAAGAAAGTGCCCAATAATTGGGGTTCTTAAAATGGTTTGGTTTTATGCACACCCCATTCCAGGGCCTTTCCTCTTCCTTACAGTCCTTCTGAGAACTTAATTCACTAGGATTTTGGTTACGATGGATGTAACAACAAACAAACCCCATCCTGTATGCTCACGTGTTGAGCACGTGGAAAGAGGGAAGAGGTTGAGCATCAGGGCATGCCTCTGGTTTTGGGAGTTGGAAAAATGTGTATCTCGTGGTCTGAATATACACACAACCAGAATATGAACGTGTGTAAGGACAGTCTCCCGTTCAAGGATGTTATTTTGCGTTTTATAATTGGTACAAAAATGTAGTATTTTACCTCCTGGTAAAACTGTAGAATGCAAATTTTTGTGGAAGCAGCAAGTATTGATGTTATTTGTACAGTAGATATTTTAATTAGTCTTTAGTCCAAGTTTGTAAGTCTTAATGCACATGCGTTCGGAACTGGTTTGATATGAATGGTTCCTGTCCACGTTTTGTCACACACTTCTGCTGTCTCTCAAACAGGATCAGTATGGGAACTATGTTATCCAGCATGTACTAGAACATGGTCGGCCCGAGGATAAGAGCAAGATTGTAGCAGAAATTAGAGGCAACGTGCTCGTGTTGAGTCAACATAAATTTGCTAGGTATGAATTTGTTCCTTAAAGTCTCCACGCCCTGTGAGAGCATGGACACGTGCTAGAGTTGCAGAAGAGTTAGGGGTGGGGTGTAGGTAGGTGAAAGGAGGTGAAAATAACTTTTTGCTTAACTACAGAACGCTATTTACAACTGCTTGTAAAGAGGGACGAGTGACTGGCAAAGTAAGTTTTATGTGGAATGAAGGAGGATGAAGATGTGGAAGAGTAGCTGTAACCCAAGCTCTGAACTTGACCAAGAGTTTTTGTGTGTGTTGGGGTTTTTTTGTTTTGTTTTGGTGTGTTTTAAGTGGTCACTATCCCGTGGATAATAACACACCATAAGAGCATTCCACTGCCTCTGGGATGCTGTGTCAAACCACAGGGGAGTTTGGGAAATCAATGTTGCAACAGCTCTTTTTCATTCCACTTTTCACAGAAGACTCTCGACTTGTTATATTTAAGTCTGTGGTCCTTTTTGAGACACAGGCATAGTGATATCCTTGTAGGAAAGCTGCAGCAGTCTGAGGATGTTAGTCCAGATCTACAGAGCTGCACATGGGTAGAAGCAAAATCCAGGTACCTTAGTGGGTGTCAAGACAAAGTAATACTTCCCACATTCATAAATTCCTTTTGCATGTGTTTCTAGACATTTAAACATGAAGATTGAGCTCTTCAAAGGCTCAATATCCTCCCCCCCCTTTTTCTCATTAATAAAATAGTGTTTTAATACTTATGGACACAAGGGAAGTGTAACATTAACAAGAATTAGAAAAGTTTTTATTTCAGATTCTTCCTCCCTGACTTGCCTCACTTTTTTTTTCCCTAACCTTCTTTCCAGATGAGGCGTTAATTAGTGTGGGGTGTCCCCTGAGCTGAGCACTAGTTGTGGCAAACCACTTGGTGATTTATGATTCAGTCAGGGATGCAGAGGATAGGACTAGCAAAACTCTCCATCCCCTTTCATATCTCCAATTTAACTTGGCTCTCCGGAGAGCAGAGACTAGTCATCTAATATATTCAGGAATTTTGGAAGTTCTCTGCCTCTGTGAGGATCTTTTGTTCTCAAATGAGCATTTCCCTGTTGTTCTAACCTTGGACCTTTGTTACTGTCAAGCTCCAGTATTGAGAAGTCAAAGAACTACTCATCTGCTTCTCTGATAGGCACCCCATGAGAACAGACACCCACCTCAAATACAGCGTCACTGGAGAGATGCACAAATTTGGGTGAAACAAAACCCAAACTGGTCCTTTCCTCACATTCCCACCCAGATCCCAAGTTCCTTGGACTGCTCTTCTGTTTCACATTGCTGAATTTCTGTGCCAGAACGTGTGTCTCTCTCAAATGGTCTGTCCTTCTTAGAACTGTGAGAGATCTCCTTGGGGTTGAATGAAAAACCCAGTAGAGATGTCGCATGGATTCTCCTTTTTTTTATTGCCGATGCTCATGGATTGTCCTTTTTTTTTTTTATTGTCCATGCTCATGGATTGTCCTTTTTTTAATTTATTTTCTGTGCTCATGGATTCTCCTTTTTATTGTCCATGCTCATGGATTGTCCTTTTATTTTTATTATTATTGTCCATGCTCATAGATTATCCTTTTATTATTATTATTATTATTATTATTATTATTATTATTATTATTATTATTGTCCATACTCATGGATTGTCCTCTTTTTTTTTTTTTTTTTTTTTTTCA